TTGATCAATTTCAGTCAAATAACTTGTCAGTTTTGCATATACAGCAGAAGATTCCACTTTCTTCCTAGAAAATCAGTTGTGTGGTTTGAGTAATGATTTCTTTTTGTGTAATAGGGATTGGCTAGTTTGTCAGGAGAGGGACAAACAGCATGAGAGAAATGAAAGGAGTATGGGAGAGGAGGAGTAAAACAAAAAGAAAGTAGATTCAGATAATAAGGTAGAATCAAGTAGAGGTAGAATAAAACAATCTATCAGAAATAATTTAAGAGCACCCAGGTGGAGCATAATTTATTTTTTTTCTTAAGTTTTATGTATTGTTCTGCTACAAGTGGTATTTGGACAGATACAGGGGTTTTTGTTATTTGGCCAGTCCTTGCTAAAGCAGTCTCAGTCCTGACAGATCAACTGGGGAGGGAGCAAGAGCTGTTACTACCGCGTTATGTGCCTGAGGAGCACTGGGTGATGCAAGGAGGATGGCCAGTGCTGCAGTTCCCTTAGGCTCTCCCTCCCCTGCACTGTAAAATTAATGTAGAAGGAGTCCATCTGTGCTCATGGCTCTATGTTTTTATTTCAGTGATGCACAGAAACATATTCAAAGCTTTTTAAAAGAATCTCATTAATTGAGGACTTAAGTTCTGGCTTTTAAGAGTCATGGCTATTTATTAGCTGCTTGTAATGGGCTATTTCTAGCATAAGGGATCCATATGCTGGATGTTGTAATACCAAGGCACTGCTAAGTGAGAAAGTAGATCATTTTTCTTTTAACAAGAATTTAGTTCTTTATCGTGGTAACTTTTGCAGGTGGAATCAGAAATATCAGAGAAGAATAGCAGTGCACAAGCTGACACTCCCTGTAGTTATTTGGTCAAGTTGAAATGGTATAAATTCCTGTCTCGTCATTCAAAAGGCTAATAATGGTCCAGACCACCAAAGTAATCTTTTTCTTTTTTTCTTTTTTTCCTTATAACTTGTGCTCTACAGATGCTTATGGTACTGAGTCAGACAGATGTAATTTAAGTGACTATCTGTCTTGGCTCAGTTCTCCACTTGCCCTTGGTAGCTAAAGAAGTCTATGTAACCATGGAATAATATTAGTTCTTCCAAAACCAAACGCATCTCTGAGTTGAAACTATTCCCACAGATGCTGTAGTGGAACAGTTGCTGGAATATCACAGCTAGAAATGTTACCTTGTGATACAGTTAGTTCTGGACATTGCCCTCTTCCTTTCTTTGTAGCGTCTGGTGTAATGTGTATCAGAACTGTAGCTCAAAATCTTGTAGATCAAATATCTTCCTAGCTCAAGCACTTTGTCCTCAGTGAGTTTGTTTTACTTTTTATGTTGTTATTGTGCATGCAGTACTGTCGTGCTAACTCAAATAGCAGGGGTTTTTTAGTATCCCTCTGTTACCTTTTCAAGTCCTGTTTGCCCTGAGTTTCCCTGTCCAAGCTGACCAAAACAACAATACTAAAATTACTAAAATGACCTTCTGTTTGGTGGTGTTGGGTTTTTTTTTATTACTAATTGATTTTTTTGTATTGACTGCTTATTCTCACTGCTAAGGACATACACAGTCCCCTTTCTAGATAGAGCTCTGATAGCTTCCTTTTTTTCCTATTCTTTCCAAACTCTGCTTTGCCCCTGAATTTTTTTTTTTGCTTTGTGTTTGAGAAGATGACAACGGTCTTTTGATCAAATGTAAATAGTGAAATATGGAATCTGAAAACATAAATAATTTTGTATGTAATACACATTCTTAGTGGTTACTCAGGGGTAATATTATTCCAGAAAAGGTAGCTTTGTAAGCATAACAACTAATGAAAATTTGTTTCCTATAGACCTTTGTGTAATGGTTGATCATCTTTGGTGTCTAAGATACAAGGTCTAATGGAATCTTTGTCCTGGACAGACCATTTATAAGGCTCTCTTCTTTATGGACTATCTGATATCTGATAAGGACTGCACTCACACTCCAGAGTGTTCTTCAGCAGGGAACTTAAGAAGTCTTTATCACCTACCTAGTTGTCTAAAACTTTTAGACACTTAAATATATCTGCCCTCAGTGTCAGAATTGGTTATAAATGACCAAACATTCTGGTTTGCAAATTATTAAGGGTGACAATAGAGAAATACACATTTAGACGAAGTAATGTTATTTCTCTTGGAAACTGTGCAAAACCCCAAAACATTTCATTTGCAAGTAGTCTTCAAAGCTATAAAATGCTTTCTGGCTCTGACCTTTAAATTGGTGTAGCCCTTAGATGGCTTTGTCATTATTTTGGCTGAATGAAATCAGCATCTACAGCTTGACAGTATTTCTCTATAACTGTCTGTGTGAAGCTTCAGTAGCTTCTGAAAAGTGTCCAAACAGCTCAGGAATTCTAGGAGGTATTTTAAGTATCAGCAAGGAGATCTCGTGTTGTGATGTTTGCAGTGGGAGGGTGGGGTCGGGGGGGAGAAAGTTCTGGAAAGTTCTGCCTGTGATTTTACCACTGTGGGCATGACAGAGGAATCTTGGATTTAGGATGAGAATTCAGATTAGTACACCCCTTGCTCTGCCCAGTTCAGACCTTGCTCTTTGGAGCAATTCACTTTCAACTGGGTCCTGTTAATTTTCTAGGCATATTGGGCATACATGAGCTGGGTTTACATTAATTAGCTTGCTTATTGGTATTAATCTACTGCAGCATGGAATTTAGTTTGGGCTAGCTTGCCTGTTGAGCATCGCTCAATCTGTGCCAGATTCATTATTGGTATTAAGAAACTGCTACTTACACTGCAGATAGGTACTTTAAAACTAGTTCATGTCTATATACAGCATATTGCAGTGGTTGCAGGATAATTGTGCATGTACAGAAGCAAAGTTCTGATTAAAAGCCTGAACTTTCTTTCCTTATTGCAGTAGTATAAAGCCTGTGAGCTTTCCTGTGATTTTTGACTATGTAGCAAATACTTCAAAAATCCAACCTGATCTGAAGTCCTTTCAAGTTTTTACTTCACCTGAGGAATGGATGTGAAGAAGAACAGGACCCATTTCCCACTAAGTCCAGATGGATAATATTTACTGTTCTATGACTTAATTTATTTTTAAGTTCAATAACAAAATTGAATTTCAAAACTAAAAAGTTATAGTACTTGCATAAAACATTTTCAGTTCAGGACCCTAATTGTTTTATTTTGTTTTTAATCCTAGTACCCAGTGAAATTTCTGTAACTGTTTATTTGAAAGACAGCAGTGGTGGTGCTGCAAGAGAGCACAATGTTCTTTTGGGGATAAGAGCCCCCCTCCTGTGCTCCTTATAACAGCTCATTTTGTCCTCTTTCAATATAGTAATTTTAGTGCTTTGGAACTTTATGGTAGTTATCCTGAATAACAGTTTCATATTTCCAAGCACGGTTTGCAGCTGCCAGGAAAAACAAACTTGCATTTTCAGCTCATTCAGAGCAACTGTAACTAGGGGTATTTTAAACTGGGGCAAGACTAAGAAACTGGAAAATAAAGCTTGGCCTGGTAATTCCAGGGCATCCTGAAATACCGTTTTTATCAAGCTGTATTTAAACTGCTAAAGGTTATTGAATCATGGGATAATGAGTCTTTAGTTTATAATTTTTGAAAGCTGTTCTCTTTCATCTAAGTATGATTTCTTTGAATTTATCCCAATGTCTCAAAATATCTTTTTTTGTTCCTTTTTCTGTAACACGAGGGATTCTTACATTCTTTGACTTAAACCGCTTGCAGTTTCCCAGCTTTCTGACTTTTCTAAGTCATTGTGTTAAAATCATTGTAACAGTTGATAATTGCAAGAAAGGTTAAAGCGTGTTTTAAGCCCTTGGTACACAAACAAATAACTGCTCTTCCAGCTGCTACCCATTTTCCATCTTTCATGTCTCCAAGCTTACCCATACCTGTTTATATTTGTTGCTTTGAGGTCGTGTCTTTAGCTGTATTATGAGTGTCCTCTGATCTAGTCTTAATTCTAACCATCTCCTCTCAAATATATTTATGCTGTGACCTGAGAACAGTGTAAAACCTGTCATGTTCGGGGATCTGTGCTGGTACGCAGATGCTTACATGTCCCCTACTGAAGTGTCAGTCCCTGGATTGGTCTGGCTGATTTATTTACTCGATATCCATTTCTTGTGCAGGTTCACTTCCGCATCAGTTGTAAACTGAGCATTTTTTTTTTTCCTGGAAGTGAAAATTATTAAGGTACGCAGGGACAACTGATATACTGAGTAATAAGTATGTATCAAAGTCGACGCACATCTATCTGTTCATATTTATGAAGCCTTGCTTACTGCAAAGCTTAATTTGATTACTTACAAAACTATGTTTCTCAACTTAAGAAATGGTATTTCAATTAGATATGTATTATGTACTCTGTATTTTTTAAATCAGTGATGAATACTTCATACCTAGTAAATGGGTTACATTTTCCACAACACTCAAGTGTCATGGACACTACATCATAATAATTAGGCCTGTACTCATTTGAATTACTTTTGTAAAGATTGCTGGATTACATTACTCTATTCACTTTCCACTTTTGATCTTGTATACTTCAGTTGGATATATTGTCAAAAAACCACAGTAAATAACATTTTTCTGGCTTCGGTGATCACAAATTCATTAAGGAGATAACTTTGTAAAACACAGCATTTTATTTTAAATAAATACACCAAACATAATTCAGAGGTACTTCATTTTAGAATTCCAGTGGGAGTTCCCACATAGTAAATTGCATAGTTGATGTATCTTATGAAGTTTCCAGTAAGTGAAAGTACTGCTATAGTTTGATTTCATTTTGCTAATGTAGAATTTTGTCTTTATTATTTGTTAAAGCAATAACATAATCTGATCATAAATGCTCCAGAGCAGTAAATGGTTTAAACTATTCAGATTTATTATTATTATTTTTTATTATTATTATTTAGTGTTATTCAGGTTTTTTTGTTCAACTTGTTTCTTACAAACAATCTTACAATTTTGTCCTTTTCTAGATGTCCCGGGATGAGACAGTGTGTAAATACTGTGGAGTCAGCTATTTGATACTTCATGAATTTAAGGTGATGGAAGAAAAAGTAAAAGCAATGGAAAAGGAAATTAAATTTTATGAAGGAAGTATAGAACGGGAGAAAGGACTTCAAGCAGAATTGCAGTCTCTTTACCAAGACCTTGAACACTACCGAGCTGACAGTGAATCAAAAACAGAAAGGTGAGACCATATTATCTAGTCTGATGTTATTCTCATGTATGTGTATTAGGTAGTTTCCTTCCAAACAAGTTTAAAATACAAATAAGATTTGTCTGTGTTTTATCAGATGTAACATATATACTGTAATACTTAATTTAAATCATCTTTCATAGTATTCTTTGGCAGTAAGTTTTAAATTCCTTAATAGTTTAGAAACAGTCAATATATTTAAAGTGAAAGAAAGGCCAGAAGGCATTTCAGAGGTATTTCCCCTGCACACACTCCCAAAGAGAAATGATCATGTATTTCATCTTATCATTTTGTAATAAAATTGTAATATTTTAAATGAAATTCCACAGTATTGGGAGTATCATAGTTCTGAAATTTTTACTTACTGTCTCATAGTAACATGGTAAAGAATTACCAGCGTTCTTACCCTGAGAAGCTTACAGTTCACTCTCTGAAGGGGTGATACAGAATAGTAAAGCAATTGTGAAAATCTTGGGTACTGCTTGTGGCATTGTTCCTCAGAAACAGGAGTTTGCAAATGCTTACTGGCAGGTATGTGAAGGCCCAAATTAAAGGGGGAGTTTTGTCCTCTTAAGAGCTCCGGTAGTTAACAGTAGGCCCCAGAGCCACCTTTATGTTTTTAGGGCATAACGATTAGAACCTTTAAGTGTGTTCGCTTTCAGCTCATACTTCCAGGCTTTTGTTGTGTTCTACTTCTTTGTCACATCATGATAACTTTAAACTTAGAAAAGGAAGTCATACTTCGAAAATATTTGTCCTTTTGATGGGCCTACAGCACAGCTTTGCTTCCTAAACCTTCAGATTGGTACAAAAAATATAAATGTTCATTTTGGGGTAGACATGAGAAAACAAAGCTTAAAAGGAAAGTTTCAAAGACTTTTTTCCCCTCTGCCCTTCCTTCGCTCATATTTTCTAGTATTTTTCCTGTTCTTTGGGTTTGCAGTAAAGGGTGCAAAGGCAGTTATACCGAAACTAGCTTTAAAATATGTGGCTGATTCATGTACTAGAAGTGGTGTTCCTGAGGCAGTCCAGACAGCAGCAGTGGCTGCAGAACCTGGTGTCTACCTGTGTTAGTTTTTGTGCCCCGTAATTAGAGTGCCATCAGGTTCTCAACCATGAACCTCAAGCTAGCTTGTTAGCTTTGATTTGTCCATCCTCAGCGGTTATTTATGATGTATCAAGAACTTGGACAGAGAGGGAAATTGTTGTAGTCAATATGAGCATTTATGATAAAAGTAGCATTATGGGTGGGTTTTTTTAGTCTTATTATTTTTGCTGTAGGATTTCTGGACTGACATTTCTGGTTCCTAATTAACCTTCTGTTGCTTTATGCTGTTTTATGACACCATGACAATATGACCAATTTCATAATATCAAATTGCATCTTTTCTGCACTGTTCTGTGAAAGAAATACGAGTGTTTTGGCCTCTTCCAGACTTGAAGCTCTGAAGAACTGCCCTTCCTTTTTTTTCCTCTTGTCTTCTAATCTTCATAGTCAGATTTAACATGGATGCTATGTGCTGGTTTTCTGTATCCTAATTTTCTATCCTCATGTTGTGGAATCTATTGTTATATTCCACTGATTTGTTAACTATAAACATTGATACTTATAGTTGGCTAATAAAGGATACTGTATAAAAATGCGTTGCTAAAGTTGACTACTGATAGAATAATGTGGTACAAACAAGGGCATCATGAACTTCTTGGTAATTTCTTGCTCATCTGAATCAAACTGTTTGTCAGAAGCCTTTTGTAAGAATGAGATTATAATTTTAATTATCAGCTCAGTCATTTTGATTCTGAAGACCTCCCAGTAAGGGTGTTTCTTGCATGACTGACTCACACCTAGTAGGAAGTGATCTAGAACTGATAATGCGGGGCATTTTGAGTGTTAAGGTGCTTTCAAAAGATTGGTCTGGAATGCTTTGGAAACACTACAGAAGAAACAACTACAGCTTGTCTATGGGTGAAGTGCTCAAATCCATTAACTTTTTTTTTGTGAATCACTCAAATACTACTAAGAATTTAACATTACTATTAATGGATTTAGTTAGGCTTGTGTTTGGTAATATTATTTAAAAGATTCATTTTAAAACACAAGTTCACACAAAGTTGAATAAAATGCATTTATCTTCTAGATCACTCTGTTTATATCGTTTCTTGCAATATTTTTTTACTTGAACTGAACATCCTCTACCCCCCTAATATTCAATGTTTTCTTTGGTTTAACATTGTATTTTTGAAGAGTGCATTTGCTCCTTTTTCCTTTAGTGGCTCTGGGTGGCAGTTATGGTGGTAGTATTCAGTTTGTTAGCAAATGCAGTGACAGCACATTCTTCTTGTTGAGGATCATTTGCCAGAGGTAAACTTTAAAATTTTCATTTAGCTGACTTTTTGTCGTAAAGCTGGAAGAGTTAATAAAAATTTTATCTCTGCATTTTTTTTCCCCTAAGGCTCGACTTGATTTAAAACCTGCTGAAATCAAGTGAAGTACTTTCAGTAGGCTTTCATTCAGACCATAAATCAGCTATTGTGCCTTGTTAAGTAACTTGTCTAAATATTCCTTATCTCCTCTTTACTATCCTGGGCCTCTCGTTACCTTGTGCTGTTGGCATAAACTAACTATTCAACATACTATCTTCTGGTTCTTGCAAGGCTGACAAATCATTCCTCCCAAACTGCAAATGTTTATCAGGAGCCAAATAGGCCTTTTTTTTCCTCTGGTAGACCAGGAGATTTAATCTTTCTTGTTAGTTGCAGATTGTTTCGGTGTTATATTCCTTTTAGGTTGAAGTATTGCTATCGTTTGTACCAGTGGTTAACCTTGAAAGCCACCTAGGTACTGGAGCTTTTGCAGAAATTAGTTACCTGCCCTTTGGGATTTTGTCAGAAAAACGGGAACTAACTGGCGTGCAGTTAACTACGCTGATTTGATTTAGCTATTCAAGTCTTACTCTTATTCAGTATTAAAATCACTTTAATTCCAGACTACTTGCATGAGAGCTATTCCTGAAGGGCTGGGGCTAGCTTGAAATAGCAATGCCAGTCAATACTCATACTGCCTTGAGGTGGGCTGTGCAGCTGGTACTGCATTTTGCTCTGTGCTTCTGGCTACCATCTGCAAGAGCAATGATTCATGCTTAGTTAAGCTGAAACGCTGATGTGTCTTTTGACTATTTTTGGTCTGTTACCTATTTAAATATATTAGTAACAGGCACTTTCATTGGGGCCTTACTTCTCTAATTCATTGGAGATAGAGGTATGGCTGGATTTAGCCATGTCTCTGTGTGGGACCCCCCCTTAGATTCCTGGAGTCCCTAGAGCTGACTTTATTAATGGGTTTTCTCTGGCAGGGTCTTTTGACATTTGTGACACTGCATGAGGGGCACACTGTATTTGTGGTTTGACTTTTGATAATTCTCACAACACCCAATATAAGAAATAGAAAATAGATTTAAATACTGAAGATTTAAGGTATAGTAGCGCTGGATATCATGAGCCTGACAAAGAGCAAAAAAATTGTTATGATGTTTAGAGATGTGAAGAGGTGTATAGATATCACTTAGCAAGTCCTATGTCAAAGATCTCTTGTAAATAGATTCCTGAAAACTTTTTTACAAATCTAGCAGGAGGAGTTACTTGTTGGTTGCTACCATGAGACTTATGTTCCTGACCCATGCATATAGATGTTGAAAATTTATAAATAGTAAAATATGAGAGATAATGTAAACCTAACATTTAAATTTGTGGAAACTATTTTTCCATATTTGTGCTTTTTTGTGTGTGTTTTCTTGAGTTTGTTAGTTCCTACCACAATGGCAAAACCTTAATACCGTGAAAAATGCTTTGTTGTTGAATTTGCCTAAAATAAATCTTCCTTTTTGCGACATGATTGCTTAGGAATGCAACAGTAGCTACCTGGCTTGGTAAAGTCTAGACTTGTAATAAAACACTAAAGTGACTGGGCAGGGATAACAGCATGCTGCTCTACCCTTAGCTAGCAACCTACACAACAGTTTGGTGGAAATGACGTCTGGTTTCTTATCCTGGGAGACTGAAAATACTGGGAATGGGGGGTGGTACATGCTTTAAGAACTGTGTCACCATTTTAAAAATAGGTTTTGAAGGGAAAAAGGTCACTTTAATCGTTGTTTGTTTGTTTTTTTTAATGTCTGTTTCTGTTGAATATTTAGTGATAAAATGGAGTTGAGTTGGTGTAAAAAATCACTGAGAGCCAAATCTGGATGAAAAAAAAGAGGTAAAGAGCTAATCTCTCCTTTTCTGAATGTGGTTTAGGGCATACAGTTGGTTATTCTTATTATATACCATCATATGTGGGTAACCTGGGAGATTGCACATCTTTTGACTGTTTCAGAAAGCATGACTAACAAACAAAACATTATAACCACTGCAGCACTGTAATGTATTTTCAGAATGATATTGGTGTATCATCTAATACATAAGAAGAAATCAGTTCCTAAAGTAGTAAGTTAGTGTTCTTCATGCTACAGCTATTCTGTGCAAGTCTCAGTTGTGTGCTCCTTCGGCGGCTGCTTGGAAGAGAAAAGTAAATAAAACAAGCAGCCAAGAGGTATCAGCTGGGCACGGGATTCAGTGAGTCCCTGGGTTTTGCACTCATTGTTTCCCAGCAAAGGGAAATAATGTAGTGGTTTTTTATTGTAGGCAGAATATAGAGCACAAGTGCTGGAATTTTTCTGGCTCCTTATGCATTTAATTTTACTTTTAGGTAGTTCAAGTTGCAGTGTTTAGAAGTGCACAAGAGCTGGTTTGTACTTGGAAGTGCCGTGTGTGTGGGTTCTGAAGAGAGGATATGAAGTTTACTAAGAAATGGTGCCTTCAACTTTTTTTATTCAATCTGTTTTGTAAATAACATAATAGTATGTACTTCTCTAATTAGCTAATTGATAATTTTAGGGGGTACTTATTAACCAGGAAAAAGCAGAGTTTTGTATTATGCCAAAGTGGTTTCG